ACTAAAGCTTTCTAATCTCTTTCTTCCAGGGCTCGTCACTATGCAGGTGGATACAGCGAATGGGCTGAGAAGGAGAAACAATAAAAAACAAACCTGCTTGCAAAACCATGCTGTAAAGAGGACCATTGCACCTTCACCTGAATTTTAAAAAACCAAAATAAAGATCTATGGGCTTTTCAAAGCAGTGGTCAATTATTTAGCAAACCACTCACTGACATGTCAGTAATATTCACTAAAATCAGCAAAACCTTCTTGATGTAATGTATTTTAATCATGTGGAAATGCTGTACACATTTGAATCAAATACATTTAGTGTGTTGCTTATTATCAGTGTGTTCATTAATAATAAATAAGTAGAGGTGAACTTTGCACTTCAACTTTATATCTAAAAGTACTTTCATGCTAATAAATAATTTATTACTTTTTTATGACATACAATTTAGTTGCACAAGCAGGTTTGGCTGCTGCAGTGCATGTTATGGCCAGAAGGGGGCAGCACAATGCCACCATTTCCCTCTGAAGGGCCTCGCAGTGCTGTTACAGATACAGACAGGTAAATAGCTAGAGCTTTTAGAATTGCGTGGCCGGATAAGACCAATAAATGTTTATTGGGGTGGCACACTGCTAAGAATAAAAAATAAAATAGCACAGGTTTTTCTCTGTACGTAACTAAATATAATCCATATTTTCTACACGAATAAAATGTTGCATCAATACAACTATTGCCAGATGTAGACTGAAAGACATAACTGTGTTGATGTAACATATTTTTGTCATTTACGAGGAAATAGCGTCTTTGAATCAAGTCATTTAAACGCATCACCTTTTTCAGGGCACAACGTCATATAAACAGGCCATAGACGGTAGGTTGCATTCACTACAGGTTATACATGAGTCTAATGAGAGCGCTGTATAAGGTAACGAACAACACATGCATTTATTCAGCTGTAAAAAAAGAAATTAGTTAGCATAAATTATTATAGCTGAGTTATTTTTAATGATTAACTTCATACGACTTTATAATACAGCTCACAGAGCAGCACTGCTGAAGGAACCAGTGCACATTGACTCGCCTGTTCGCTGAGTAAATTAGCCTAAAAGGCCAAATCCCATTTCTCATTTTTACCCCTACCCCTTGTCTTCGAGTGTCACCTTGCCCCTTACAACTGAGTCACTAGGAGTAGAGGTTGAAATCTTCCCCTACGAAATGGGACAACCCTAAAATAAAGAACATTGCTTCATTAACAGGCTACTAGCGCTGCTCTGTAGGCGACCCTGCCAGTCTGCAGTGACAGCAGAGGAGGGTAGAGTTCAGCAACTTCACTCCTGGGCTTTAGTTGAATTTAGGGAATCATATACCTTCAAAGAGGGGGGTACGATAATTATTTATTATCGCTCATCCCTAATTCTTCGGTGATATGAAGCTAAAGTCGCTATTCCCAGATTCATGTTCGAATTTTCCCGTTCCACCTTAAACAGTGCCGAAGTTCTGAAGCCTAAGGCGCCACGAATGTAACTGACTGCACCATTTAAGGTGGAATGGGAAAGTTAGCTAACCTAGCTAGCTACCGAGACAACAGCATACTACTAGCGATTTTTATGCTTGTTATGAACGAAAAAAGGACCTTTATACATTGAAACGACATTAAATTAATAAAATGCAATGGTTATCATAATTTTTAATGGAGAAAACACTTACATTTGTGTGTTTCTTTGGTCGCTTGCGCAGCCATCTTGTTTTTCTTTTTTTCTCATAACACCCTGTTTGGAGTGTGCCTCTGAAAATCCTCCGTTTGGAGGGCCATGTAGCCCTAATGCTTCGCCCTACCCCTCTTTCTCAACAAAAATCCAGACACCCTACCTCTAGGTGTATGCGCAAAATGAAGGGGTAAGGGCTAAGTGGTAGGGGCGAGGGGTGAAATGGGATTGGGCCTTATACTGATTGGTAACTACGCTAATGGCTGATTGTCATCATAATGCATAATTGATGCTTCATTAATGATCGCTGACTGTCTTATTTTCCATCCAGAAGGTTGGCCATGCTTCATTCCGGGATGGCATTGGCAACGCTGGCCACCCCTTGGCTACATCTCTGGATCGGGTTCATGGCCACAGGTTTTGAGAAACTAATTAAACTTAAGTGGGGATAGATGTGGTCATCCTTACTTCTGTAAATAGCTGTCAGGCTGATGTGCAGCCCAAGGCCAGCACATTTCTCAGACTGATACTGAGCTCAAGGTGACTCTCGTGCAGCAATCTTCTCAGCAAACTCCTGCTGAAGTGAAAAAGGCAATAACAAACAGCATAACAGTAGTCGAGCTGTGCTTTGGTAATAGACTGGGAGTCCATAATTTTCAAGGTTACAGTATGTTTCCTGGTGTTGAACTGTGGGTGCTTGCTGTCGAGTCTGACTTTTCTTCAGCTGTAAAGTCAAAACTGTTAAACTAAATGTCACATTTACAGTTTTTTCTTTACCCAAAGTGTAGTTGATAAGCCAAGACATGCTTGGGTGTCTCAGGATTGCTTCTTTAGTTTTGCACTGAAGCTAAGAAGCTAATGTCAGAGCAACCTTACAGTAAGTTATTACATGAAACGGGTATGGACACATTGCCTGAAGCCTGAGACACTGTTTTACTCTAACTATTATTATGTTACAATAAATGCAGGGCTGAGAGGTACATGCAGGGTGTTATGAGGAAAAAAATACTTTTTTTTCAGATTTACCACTATTCTACTCTCATCGAAATTCCATAAAACGAGAAGAGGTGTAGATTCACTGGTCATTCTTGATAGCAAATAAAATGGCTATAGTTGAGTTATAGACATTGTGACCCCTGGTTCCTATCACCACCACTGTAAAGAAATCAGTGAGTTTCACTATAATGAACCATGTCACATCAAACCACTCTGAAAGACTGTTTGCATATCAAAGATTTAGTTATGCAGAAATTTTGAAGAATCAGTGGAATTCTTTTTGAAACTCACACACCTTTAAGCTCGGGGCATCTTTCATGTGGATTACATATGTATTGCTCCATCTTTGATTGATCACCATTCTCCTTTACAGAACACTGATCCAAGCTGATGGCGTTCATGTCACCAGTCATGACAAAAACAAGTGTTAAAGGTGCAGTGTGTAATATTTAGTGGCATCTAGTGGTGAGACTGCAGATTGAAACCAACTGAATACCCCCCACACCCCTCCCTTTCCAAGTGTTTAGTAGAAATTTCAGTGGCCATCAGGTGATTGCTACTCTAAATTACCTGTCTAGCAGAAAACAGGCAACTTCAGCATCACCCCTGAAAACATTTGTCCCTCATCAGCAACTTCCATCTGGGAAAGGCCACACCAATTTGTATTCTTTTTTCCTGCCATCGCCTGTCCTAATTTTATTTTGCTTCTTTGATGATGAGCATTCACCTTCCCTTACTTCTTCTACTTCTTGGTTTGTTCCTTCTGGGCTACTGTAGAACCATGGTGGCACAACATAGCGGCCTCTGATGGAAGAGGATCCACTCCTTATGTCAATATGAAGGGCTCGTTCTAAGCTAACGAAAGTACATCAAAGTTACAGGTGTGTAGACACTAACAAAAACATCCATTTTGTATCCATTTCTGCTAATAGATTCCCCTAAGTCATACAGACTCCACCTTTAAGGCTATATATCACGCACACATAAGTGTGTGTTTGTGTCCTTCTGTGTGGCTGCAGATAAATTCCACTGTGCTACTTCTAGCATAATCCTTATTTTAAATATCATGCAGAATTGAATTTTCTTTTTTTAAATAAAAGTTTGATATAAAATGTAAACATTGTCAAAGTTTATACTGTACATATATGAAAAATTAAGCTGCCAAAACAGCCTGTTCTGTGATATCACAAAACCATCTCTTTTGCATATATCTGCCTATTTAGCCCACAACAGCTAGTTATAAGGAGTGTTTCAGGCTGTTTTTTGAATGAGGCAGAACACATGGGAGTCATAATGGAATAGGGATTATTCACATGGCCATACACAATAAACTAAGATAAAATATGTTTTTAGTACATAAAACCATACAAATATTGTAAGTGGCCTTATGGGGGAACTTTTACCCAATAAAAGATGATGAAACATTCTGAATCATGTCAAAATGGACCATGTTTTATTATCCTGGGGGCATTAGCTCCCCAAATTTATGTGGAGTTCTCTTGCAGGTTTAGCTGGATCCTCAGTGAAATGTGTTGCTATTTCTAACGCATTGGAAGTTCGATTCAGTTTACCGAATCGGTTCTTTTGAACGGCCCTTTTCAATTAATCAAATGAATCATCAAATGAATCATTTAATTTTCCACAATCATGTCAGTTCAACTTTATTTTCATTTTGTCCGTTTAAATGTCCTCCATATACAATGATAAGGAAGATTCGCCAAGTAAACTTCATTCACATTTTTCTCTATGTACATTTGAGGCTTTGTCCATCAGGTGTCCACGATCTCCTCCATTTGCAATGACTTTAGATTCATTTAGTTGAGGTACGACAGGTAATTTGTACAGAAAAAAAACCTTTTCTTTATTTGTCCTCTAGCACAGACGCGTTGTGAGGATGCTACAAATATTTTGATTCAGTTGGGAGTTGGTTCGTGAATCGAAAGAACTGGAAAGAACCGGTTCATATGAAAGGATTCGTTCACGAGTCGAACATCGCTACTTTTTTCTAAACTAACGGACGTTAGAACTGACAAGTGCGCGTGGGGAAAAATAATCTCCTTTCTTCGGAAAAAGACTCTTTTATGGATACTGGAAATTTCCTTGACAAAAAAATCATATTTTGTGCTTTGTTTAGGATGTAGAAGTGAGAACAGTGATACAGACCTCAGTGAAAGACAGTAATGTGGCTTTAACAGCAGCGACTGAAAACTGAAGGCTAACGTTTGATTTATTCGGGCGGGAAAAAAGCCTCTCGTAAACCGAACGAAGAAAGATGTGTTTTTCTCGTACATGATCAGCTCGACGCAAGACTCGTAAAACTAGCATGAATGCTGGTTTTAGTGGAGTAATTCGACAGAAACCCGGTGTGAGGATGTACCTGTAGTGCTATGTGGCTTTATTAGTGAGTTTGAGGAAAGCTGTGTTACGTTTCCAGAGGGAAAAATGGGAGAAGCAGATTCACTGTGCAGGTAACTTTCATCTCCAAATGCATGTCGACGCTTTCACTTCGTCGATGGAGAAGCTTAACAGGTAATTAAACATTTCACATAAATTTATCGCACTGAAATCTACAGTTTGGTCCATTTTGAGTTCTGTTTTGTATTTTTAACTTACATACAGAGCAGCCGTCATTAGCACGTTCGCTTTTCGTGATAAATTTGTGAAACTTCATATTAATTTTTGGCTTTATTACTGCTTTCCTCATAACAGGGATTGAGGATAATCTCTGCCCTTCGAGAATGCCATTAATATTCTGTGTTCATGTAATTTCCTGCCTCTGAGAGTTACTAAAGAAAGGAAATTACTTTTTGTGGAATTTCTCCTGAGTATATCTTTGTTGTTGTTGTTTTATTCCAACCCTGTTTCTTGTCTAGTGAATCGGATTTGAAGAAACAAATGAGAAAACAATTGTCTGCTCCTTTCCATGTTGCCTCAGGGTTAATTGAAATGGCAGCTTCCAAATAGAGGTCTAATGAAGACTGACCTAAACCAGTATTGTTCCTCCAGGTGAAATTAAACCCGGTTTACATTAATGCACTGTTGAGGGAGATCGATGTACTGACACAATGCGTATGGATATGAATGTACACAGTCAGGACTTCAAGATTTGTGTGGAAGCCTGGCTGCTCCTCTTTAGGGCTCATAAGCTGGAGCACACATGGACTTCTGGCACATCAAGAGCCTTTAGGGAGCAAACAAAATGGCAAAGCTCACCTGCTGGGCTCTGCGATCAAGAAAAAAATACTTAAGGAGCTTAGGATCTCACTGTCTCTCTCATTCTCTCTCTCTCTCTCTCTCTCTCTCTCTGTCTCTCTCTCTGTCTCTATCTCTCTCAGACACACACAGTCTTGGTCTAAGCTAAAATCAATGAAACCCCTGAATATACTGTTCTGTTCCTCTCTACATGTGGCTCACTAGATCATGTTGCCATTCACATGTATAGTAGTGTATAGTATAAAGGTATATAGCCTATAATCTGTGTATTGTAATGTAGTATACTGTCTGCTAAGGATACAATGAAATACATTCAGGTTTTTCTAATTCTGAGCAAGATTTAATAAGAGTACTGATTGTTATGTGTTAAAGGGCATATCCTTCATTTTTCTTGCCTTTTTATGTACCAAAACCAGTCATAATTAATTTATACATGACCATTTTCCAACTTCTCTTTATCCCTTAGTATTAAACAGGCTGATTTTGCTACTGTGCCTTTAAGACTGATACATGTAAATGAATTCTGTTCTGATTGGCTGCCTTGTAGTGTGTGTCAATCAAAAATCAGTCTGGGCTGAAATACTTAAGTTTAGTGTGAATGAACTGACCCTCGGAGGACAGCGAGGTGTAATATATTTTTGAGACAGTTCTAAATTTCCAATAGGGGTGGGCAGTATGACAGAATTTTATTGTTATTTTGATAAATTATGTTACAGTATGCTGTTCTAGGCATATTGTGGATGTCTGTAGTATTTAAAGAACTCTGACCAACTACCTTTTTATTTCAAAGAGAGCACAATTAGTCTTAGTGCAGCATATGTGAAAAGTTGAATTAAAAATGACTGTGCTCAGTCGTAGCCTTCCATGGCCTTTTTAAATTTAGTTTACTGTTGGATCAATTTGATCTGCTCCAACATATCAAATTTCAGAAAAAAAAAATCTTGTATATCATGTATTGTGAAAGTATTGATGATATACAGGGGTGTACAAAATAATGGAAATCCTACATAAAATACTCAGACTCCAGCCATTTTATCAGAAACACCTACCATATAGATTTACAGTTCCTGAATATAGTCCATCTGCATATTTTATTAGCCCCACAATTTATCAGCCCAAGAGACTGCTGTAGGACCACCACCCCGACAATATCTGGTCAGTGGTGGTCCTACAGCAGTCTCTTGGGCTGATAAATTCTCAGCAAAGCATTGACAGTGACATGGTAGTGGATATTACGCCATTTTGGGTGTAACCATATTGCTGGGGTTTTAAACACTGCACATTTACTAGCTACTCTATTAGATGCACCTACCTTGTTGGTACACTTCATAGGTGTGCAGATAGAGACTATAGTTCTTTTTCCAAACACAATTTGTGTCAGTCATCCTCTAGCCCTTTATCAGTGGTCAATTTCTAACCACAGCACCATTATTCTCTAGATGTTCTTGATTGGTAGACTATTCTTAACCCAGCTGGGACTCTGACATGTGTAAAAACCCAAGCAAAAACACTGTGCCTAATACACTGGTGTCAGCATAACACCCTCTACCATGCCACTACTATCCGTGTCATTGCTGTGGTGTGAATGGTCCACCACCCAAATAATATTTGGTCAATGGTGGTCCCTTTCCACTGATGGATGGGGTAGAGAAGGGCTCAAAAATTGTGCAGCAACAAATGGTCTACAGTCCATAATTGTAATCCTACAAAGTGCACCTGTATGGTAGATGTACCTGTTAAAATCATCGATATGTATGAGTATTTACTGTGGTGTTTCATTGTTTTATATACCACCAAATTTTGAGCTTATCGCCCACCCCTAATGTGTATGGTATTTGATTGCATGCAAAAAACTGTGGATGTCATTAGGAAGGCACCGAAATGGGAATTTTGGGTGGTCAGCATCCCATATTTTTAATGTACATGTCTGCTGATGCTGATGCGTAAACATTTATAAAATGTAGAAATTGCGACTAAATTCATCTCATTTACAAATGAAATAAAATGATTACAGTGCAGACATTTTAGCACAGTAGCCCAGCATCACCTACACATTCTGCTTCTCTGACATACAGTAAAGATGTCATGAAATATCAGTTTAAAATATCGGTCAAATGTAAACATCTGTCTGATGCCAGTTTTGTTAAGCAATTGTCTGTCAATACCGATATGATTTGAATATCGTCCTCCATCCATAGACGTCATCATTGACGTCATGTTTTTTTAGTCCTAATCAGTGTCCCTTTTTCTCAGGTCTCTCCCACCCATGGCAATGTTTCACAGCAGTGAATGGCTGTGGAACGATTCAGAGCTATCTCTCAGTCCAGGGGCAAACTCCAGCCTGGCCCCGGGTGTGGAGGATGGGGCACGGAACTACTATGCTATGCTCTATTCACTGCTTATCCTGGCTATTGTGTTTGGCAATGTGCTGGTGTGTTTGGCAGTGCTTCGAGAGAGGTCTCTCCAAACCACCACTAACTATCTCGTGGTTAGTCTGGCAGTGGCTGACCTGCTGGTGGCTTCATTGGTCATGCCATGGGCTGTCTATTTGGAGGTGAGTGTAAAGAGACCAAATGCGTTGGTAAAAACCAGTGACCTTGTATTACAAAATATCTCATGCTTGACTAAGGCCCAATCCCATTTCACCCCTTGCCCCTACCACTTAGCCCTTAGCCCTCTGTTTTGCGTGTTCACGTCTAGGGTAAGGGTGTCCCAATTTTTGTTGAGAAAGAGGGGTAGGGCGGAGTGTTAGGGCTACATGACCCTCCAAACGGAGATTTTTCAGAGGCACACTCCAAACAGAGTGTTATGAAAAAAAAGAATAACCGGCAAGATGGCTGCGCGAGCGACCAAAGAAACCCACAAATGTGAGAATTTTCTCTGTTAAAAATTACAATAACCACTGTATTATCTTAGTTTAATGTCGTTTCAATGTATTATGGTTGTTTTCTTCATAACAAGCACAAAACAATCGCTAATAGCATGCTAATTTCTCATTAACTAGCTAACTTTCCCGTTCCACCTTAAATAGTCCGACAGTATTGACGCCAGAAGCGCCAGAATGTAACTGCTGCACCATTTAAGGTGGAACGGGAAAATTCGAACAAGAAGCTAGCGAATAGATGACTTCAGCTTCATATCACCAAATAATTGGAGTGGGTGATAATAAGTGATTGTCTTATACCCCTCTTTGAAGGCATATGATGCCCTAAATGTAACTAAAGCCCAGCAGCGAGGTTGCTGAACTTTTCCCTTCTCTGCTACCACTGAAGACATGCTGGGTTGCCTGCAGAGCAGCGTTAGTAGGTTGTTAATGAAGCAATGTTTTTTTTTTTGTTGTTGTTTTTTGTTTTTTGTTTTTTTATTTGAGTGTTGTCCCATTTCGTAGGGCAAGTTTTTAACCACTACCCCTTGTAACTCAGTTCCATAACTAACTCAGGGTGACAATCGAAAACAAGGGGTAGGGGTAAAAAGAAGAAATGGGATTGGGCCTAAATGTCAGCTCTGCCCACAAATGCATTCTTTCGTAGCAGCTGTTGTCGAATAGAAAAAGCTTTGCAACATGCTGGCAAAAATCTTGCTTAATCTAATGAAATATCGTAACACCCTTTGTTTAGAGTTGACTGCAGTGCCATTAAGTTTCAGTTTCAGTAAAGTTGAGTTTCGACTGAGCTGTGCAATGTTGTTGTAGCTAATCAAAACTTGGAAGGTGGGAAACGACAGTGCCAAATTTTCCATCATGCTAAAGTTAGCTTGAATGTTCAACAAAAAATCTATACCCGTTCAATTCCTAATAGTGTGATCACTCTTAAGTTTAGATATTCTTGACAAAAACTGAGTTATGCACTATAATTTCATTAGGTTGAATGGGAGTTTTTGCCAATCTTCTATAAAGCTTGTCCAACCTAGCAGCAGTTGCTATGAAAATATGCATTTGTGAGTACAGCATAGGTAAGTTTACACAGAATCAGATTCACCATGTTATGATCCATTTGTTCCAAATAGCTACTGAATTCCATCTTTAGCTCCTTAAATTGTCATACTGGTTAGGATCAGACTCCTTGGGAGACACAAAAGCAGAGAGTAGTCATGTTTTAAGCATGCATGTTTACTTAGCATTTTAAAAGGATCAGATTCTCTGTTTTCAATATTGCTCTTAGACCCCTGCGGTAAAAAAGTGAGACCGATTCAATAATAGCACTCTTTGTGAATAAGAATAAAATTTCAGTTTATTCCATTAGGGAAGAAGAGAAAGGGATAGGAAATGGGTTGGCTAGGCCAGGGCAGAGGCGGCACACTCAATAACTTCACTGAAGACGAAGAACACACAGCTAATTCATCTCTGCCAGAGCTTTATTAGGTCCCCCTCTACTGCCCCGGGCCAAAGAATGTCCACCTGTCTGCGCAATGCTTCTCTTTCACAAAGGACTGCTGGATATAGGACCTGTCTTAAGACAAATTAGTAATCTCTTCTTATTACTTTTGTTGCCAAAGATTTGGCAAGATTTTTGACTACTGGGGAAAAAGATAGTATTAAACATATACTGGCCCGACCAGTGTATGTAACTGAACAGCCAGACCTAACTTTTAGGAATGTGGAAGAATATGTTTCTATGAAAAGAAAAGATGTAAATAACTATAAGAGCTAATTAATTAAAAAAACCAAACAAAAACTGCTTAGAAGCAGTTTAGAAGCTCCAACCACAAGCCACAATATTTCTGTTATTCAAGACTTGGTGAGTTTCTGCTGTTTGAGTTGAAGAAATGTGATAAATAAGAACTGAATAATATTTGCAAACTCATGAAGGACAACTGACAGTGATATCTGTCAGTAAAACACTAAAACTGTCTTTGCTGGACCACCAGACGCTGTCTCTTACCAAGTCACTGACTGATTTATCTGGCCCTGACAGCCATTATTTAAACACGCAAGTGCAAGCGCCACCTGAGACACACAGTAGGTAGGTAGTAGGTAATTAAATGCGGTCATCCTTCAATGTAGAGCTATAATATAAATAATGAAAGAGCAAGAGGGAAGCGCATTGATTGAAACGTCATGGGTCTTGCAAAAACAACGAAACTCTTTCTAATAATGTTTAATTACAGTAGTGAGTACGATATATTAATTTGAGTTCTCTGTTAGTTGGAAATTCTCACCTTGCAGTAGTCTTTAGCAATTTTTTGCTCTTTTAGGTAAGCATGAAGTCATCAGTCACTAGTATTTGACCACTGGAATAGTATTTTGATGTGTTGATCACTATTTTTAGAATAATCATTTCGTAAAGAGCTCGGCAAGTCAATGTTAGTTAACTTGGAAGCTATAATATTAGCATTTAGGCTAGTATCTAGAGAATGATTGGTTTTGCTCATATATTTACACTGTCAAGACAAAAAAATAAAATTTGCTTGATTTTACACACAATTATGTGTAACTGTAGATATTTGTCTGAGTGTACGTGCATGTAGACATCATCTGAGAGTCTGATTAAGTCTGGTATTATGCTTATAGCAGTCCTAAAATGAATAATTAATAAATTGCTAATTTAGAATAGTTATTCTATAATTATGAAACAAAGCAAATTATGAGAGGAATGAACAAGAAAGCAGATTTATTTGGTCTCCTTTGCCAACATGGGATGGCAATAGCACAGTGGACATCTTCCACTTTCAGGTAGGGAGGCCACTGCTATTGCAGTGAGAGCCCTATCTACTTAAAGTTTTCTACCTATTTAAATTCTTTGCGTTCTTCTCATTCTTCTTCCTATTTATCTCTTATTATTACTTTTAGTAGTACACTCTTAAAAAAGAACCGTGAGTTCTATATAGAATCATTTCATATGTAAATGCTTCTTTGCATCATGAAATTGTTCTTCAGATTGATGGGGAGTGTGTTGTATATGGTTCTATGTAGAAACTTTTTGAAAATAGTTCTATATAGCACCAAAAAGGGTTCTTCTGTTGTTACAAGCTTGACTTCTTAGAACATTTTCACCAAGCAAAGAAACATTTCAGCATGAACTGGTTCTATATAAAATGCATGGTTCTAAATAGAACCACTTTCTTTGCTAAAGAACCCTTGAAGAACTCTTTTTTAAAAGTGTAGTAATGGTAATAATAGTAATGACTAATGCGATGAGAAGAAGGTAGATTATTATTATTGCTATTATTATTATTGTTATATGTAGTAGTATCAGTATTTGTAGTAGTACTGTGATAGAAAATGTCTGTCTGTCTGTCTGTCGTTTGGGCATCCACCAGACACTGAGGGCAGGTGGACCACCCTGCTTGTAATGCAAGGTTTTTAATATTCTTTGCTACAGACATGCCGCCAGTAGCGGTCCAGTAAACTCAGCTTGCCTAGTCTTGTTGACCATATTAATTAATGCCAGCCAATGTTATTGATTTTTTTTTACTCGTCGGTACCTTCAGGTATCAGATTTTTTAGCTCTTTAAAATTGTGTTGGTATTGGTCAAAACACATTCATGGCCCTAGCCACTATATCAGTTATTAGGACAAAAGATTTATGGGTGCATGTGACACTGCCATGTCTTCACCTGTGTAGGTGGTTGGTGGTGCTTGGCTCTTCAGCCGTCTGTACTGCAACATCTTTGTGACCTTGGATGTGATGATGTGTACTGCCAGCATCCTCAACCTGTGTGCCATCAGTATTGACAGGTAAAGCTTATCTGTATTGCAGTATCATTGCATAATGATATTTTTTCCAGCTGCCATAAACATTTGAGAAATTTTACCTATTCGGTTTAGTGAAAGAGTCTAATTTTGAGTGACACTGCCTCAGTGAGTCGGTAACATGCATGCATTGCTATGTGCATCACGGTCTGCTAGAGTGTTAACCACAGAGGATTTCAAGGTACTGCAGTCAAACACATTTATTAATATTTCATCAGAAAGTGTGTCTCCCCAAATGTAAAGGGCTGCTGCTAAAACCATTGCATTGTGGAAATAAAATGCAATGGTTTTAGCAAAATGTTTCTGGAAAATCAACTTTGCATTCATTCCATGTGCATGTGTGTTTACCCTACATTATTTATTTTCTTAGTCACAGAATTCTTGTATCACTTAATATTTCAAAGCTTCAGGGGTTCTGAACTTTCAGCACACTCGCTCACTGCAAAAAGGCATTTATGCACTTCCCAAACTAATTATACGGCCGAGGGATTGTGTGCGTGTCTGCTTATTGGCTCTCGGTGGGTGTTAGGTTTTCTTTATTGCTGGTGCCTTGTTATTAATAAATTACTGGTGAGTCAGGGACAGGTGCATAATTAACACCTTCACATAGGGGGCTGTGTCGAGCCTCTGTTTTAATTTGGCTATATGAGGTGTTTGTGATAGAGAGTAAGTAGAGGATGAGCAGGAAGGGAAGATGTTAGAAAAGATGTTGTATGTGGGGAAATTAGGTACATACTAAAAAGGAACAGAGTGTACTGAAAGAACGTGTTTAAAGGGGAATTCCACTGATTTTTCAAAATGTCTGTATTTTTCGATCTTTAAGTTGTGAACGAAGTCATTCAGAGTGGTTCAGGATGAAACTCTCTATTGTACCGAAACTTGCCAAGTCAGAATTGTTCACAGTGGTAGTGATAGGAACCAGACGTAAGAAGTGTTTAATGCCTCCAAAATCTCCACCACATTTAAGGTTAGGTAAGTTTTTTTGTAAAAACAAATTTTGAGCCCTTTAAATTGGGAGATCCTGTATATCAGACTGAAAAGAAGAAGTATGTAACTTCAAATAGAATTAGCCTATTTACAGCTGTTTTATTGTTTCTTCTTTTTTACTCAATGTGTGCCTGGAGAGGAAGATATTACCTTTTTCCTTCTACAGCAATCATATACTGTGAAGTTTGTAACTGTGTGATTTTGTTTTGAATCAGGTGCAGCATAATTAACATTCCCTCAGAGGATTCCTCATCATTGCAAATACTTATCCCGAGTTAATAACACAAATATATTATTTTATTGAACAGTCTCCGTTTCATCATGGCCTTGTCATTAAAGCAGTGAAAGTTAAATAAAATAAATCTACTCTACCTGTAGCTGTTACTTCAAATTACTGTGTGATCATAAAATAAGAAAATGCAAGGAGAAAAAAAAATCTCAAAATTTTTTACATACACTTTTTAAAGTTTTAGCATCCATCTACAAAATCACTTGTTTCCTGCCCCATTGCTATGCCCTGTAGGCAAAGCACAAAAAGTAAATAAAGCACCTGTGCTTGCCTTGTTAAATCGTCAGTTCTGTCTCAGTTGTCACATAGAAGCGGATGCAGCCTACTTTAAATACTAAAATTCTAATCCTTCGACTGCATAATTTCCACGGTTCACTTCATGTCAGGAACCAATATCATTTAAGTACCAATCTCATGAAAAAGTGAGCTTAGTTTGAGGAGGATTTGTAAATTGTTTACTCATCCAATGTCTGCGATAATTCTCATAGGTCTTGGATGAGCACACAAAGCCTTTGTACTTACTTTTCCTTCCTTTATGCAGTCTAATCATAGCTAATTCCCTTAGCAATAGCTTTAGCACAGTCTTCTATGTGTTTCTGTTGCATCTTTTCTAACTACTGGCTCCAGTCCTAGACAGCATGAACATGTTTGTAGGAGAACGATCGGGACTGAGCTCTTTTTTAAAATCCTTATGATTACACCGTGATTTACTGTTATGTTGCATAGAGAAAGCGGAGAGAGAGACAATCTTGACAATATCTCCCATAGTGAAAGGGGCTGCCTCTTTTGGCTCAACTGCCTCCTCTCAGCTAATGATGCATAGCACAGCTGGGCCCTGAATGCCAGCTTTGCACTTCTTTGCACTTTTGCTCAGTGCCCTTGGGGAAAATCTGCTAATTTTTCATTTTATTAATAAAGAAGCGTGAACTGCAGCAGCCATAGAAACCTCTATTGAAAATTCCATTGAGATGAATGGTCTTGTATGTCTTCTACATTTCGACTGTCTGTTCTGTGCAGGTACACAGCCGTGGTGATGCCTGTACTGTATAACACAACGCACAGCTCTCGTAAAAGAGTGTCAGTCATGATTGCCACAGTGTGGGTACTGGCCTTCGCCGTCTCCTGTCCCTTACTGTTTGGCTTTAACACCACAGGTAAGAATGTTAAAGCTGTGATTCTTCTGATGGTGGAGTGGCTTTTCTTTCATAAGTGTTAAACCTGGGCCTGTCATGGTTATTATATAATTATTGCAATTACTTCAGCTGACTGCAGTTGTTTTTAGCCTTCACAATGATATATTTATATTGTAACAGTATGTGAATTCATCCGTTTGGTTGCACCAAATACCTGTAAATTATAAAACGCTTTTATTGAGACATGTCATTTACTGAGAACAACAAAAGTTCTATCTAAAGACTTTTTGGAAGGCAGCCGTGAGTAATGTTTGTCGAGCTGTGTCTGTTGTCAGTTGGAAGCTACTAAATATAAAAATAACAGCAAGGAATCAAGATAACTGATCATTTAATTTGACCACTTATACTTTAATAGTTGCACACAATGAACATAAAAAGCCGATTAAAGGGCCCATGTTGTGGAAAACCGAATTTTCCCCAATTTTATGCAAGAAGATAGTTTGATGTAACATGAAAATATCGTTAATAAAAATAAGTTTCAAAACATACCACTCACTCCCCAGTCCATACAGTCCAGTTCTGGAAACTATTCTGCAAAAACAACCTGTTTTAAATTCACTGTTTCTTTGATGTCACGAAAACCAGTACATTTACATATATCCACCTTTTCAACCCATAGCGGTTTAGCTCCGGCCACTGACTTTTAAGTTATATGGAGTGCTGCTTTTTGAATGAGGCACAATACAGGGCTGCCAGATAAAACAGAAATCATTTACATATATGTATCTTAAAGGCAAAGCAACAGTGCCTTTAATCTGTTTAATCTCAGGAATAAAAAGAGGTTGGAAAATGTAAGAATGAATTATGATTGTTTTTGGTAAATAAAACCACACAAACGTGATAAGTGGACCTCAAGGGAAAAATAAAATGCATAAACAAGTAGGATATGGGCCAATTAAATTGTTAATTGCAGTCATTTATATGGCAATTAATCATCAGCTAAAAATGGATGAGCGTGACAGGTTTAGTTAAACCTTTACCCTATAGCTGTTACACAGATGATAGTACTTCGCTTTGCTGCTGAGGTTGCTGCTTCATCACACCTAAAATGAGATCAGAGGCCATCAGTAAAGCAGCAAACCGACCTGAGAGTTGTTCTGGATGGCTGATACCACCGAGACCTTTCAATTATATGCTGATAAAGATTTGCAGTTAAAATATGTGGAACAATATTATATGCAGCCAATTAAATTGTGTAATCCGTTAATTAGTGTCATGCAGGTTTGTAACGAGTGGAATCATATTCAAATAAGCTTTTCAAGAATAAAACCAAAGTTTTCTATCTTGGTTCCCAATGGATTTCATCTGGTATATCTACTCTGAAAGGTTGATGGTGACAAGGTAAAGGGAACCTTAATTATGTTACCATAGAAACAAGATAATGTAATTGTGCATTCTATAGATTTGTGCAGATGAGGATATTGATTATATGTTAAGACACAGCTGACTTCATCACCCATTTTCACTTATCACATCATGGCTTTGATGTTTAAAGTGCCCCTAAAGGATCAGCCCCTTATTTTGCAGTTTCTCACCAATCTGGAGTTATGTTTGAACAGCTTTTGAGTCTCTGAATGTGTTTTGTGTCTGTTGTTATACATGATACCTGAAGGTATTTGTGTTGTGTGTATGTATTGCAGATGACCCCTTAGTGTGCTCCATATCAAACCCGGATTTTGTCGTCTACTCATCGGTGGTGTCGTTTTACTTGCCCTTCGTGGTGACGCTGCTTGTGTATGTGCGCATCTACATCTTCCTCAGGAGGAGGAGGAAAAAGATAACCTTCCGCCAGGCCAGCGGTGAAGTTCAACCAGGATCTGCACAGCTGTCTGCTGTAAGAGCACCTCAGCCAACATACAAACATACTAGGGCTGTTACTATTACTGGTGGGCATCGATTTTTAGCAGTAACTTGATAATTTACATCACTGTATGCTTTTCTCAGCTTATCGTAGATCTTGTCCGTACCTAAAGAACACCAACTGTATGTTTAATTAAAAAGAGAACATAATTGTTTCAGATTTATTTACATTAGTGCCACACAGAAGGTGAAACTTTGAATAACACTTATTGTGATCGTATTTTTTATAGTATTTTTTAAAATGTGGCACTGCTGGCCCTTTTTTTCTCTGTTCCAACTTATCAAAGCTCAGAAAAACTAAAGGAAAAAACTAAATGACAAGTAATCAGATTGCTTTGAGTTTTTTACAAATGCAAAACATTAAAAATAGCCACACATATACAGCTTGAAACCATTTAGAGTCATTGCAGTTGTTCACCTGTACCCAGCCAACGTCATCTTTCTATTCCAACACAAGAGAATGAGGTATTAATAGAGGTATCTCTTATTTATGAAGGCAAGTTAGGGTCTCCAATTTTGTGATTTAAACCTATATATCACAAATAAATCTTGGATCACTCCCCATACTGGTGTTATATTCCTCAGCTTCCTCAAGAAAGCACTGGATACATTTCACTTTTGTTGGGAAGCATTAATGGATTGTGTCGCTGGGGGAGATCAGTGGAAGAACATCACTGATCGGTGGACTGGGTTTTTTGTATCATAGGCGACCTTTGAAAGTGAGATGCGGCGTCAAGCCCTTGGAAGTGGTCCAACAAAGCCATTCTGCTGCTGCACACTCCTGGAATTTTATCACACAATTTGGTTCCACTTTACTGGTGCAGAATATGATACGCAGCAGAAAAGCTTTTTAAGACGTCCTGAACATTTTCCTTTTTCACAAAGCTATTTTTTCTCCACATCTAATTTTAATAATGCCAAGGAAAGCTTTGCTGAATGACAGTTCTGTAGCTGCCATGCCATGCGTGCCTTCAGAGAAGTTAAGTGACTGGGGGAAGCACTAGAGAGGGAGATTCATGAGACAGACTGACCTGAATCTCTTTAACGAAGAGCCACTATATGTCCTTCTAGAAATGGACCCTTTTCATGAACGATTTGCCAATGCCCTTACTTTTAACCAGTTGTATATGATAGACATTGGCATATGCAGACCTGTGACATGAAACTATGAACACTTATGAGCATTAATAAATTTGAAAAAGGTTTTTTTTTCCTTTTTCGGGCTGGATGTGTGTGTCATCTTCTGAAAATAATGCTGTAATGCAGTTGTATGGCATTTGAATTTCAATTAAAGTACAGAAGGTGTCCTCTGCACCTGAAAAAGGCCCATTTGAATGTGCAGTTGAAGAAAATCTTTCCTGTGTAGTCATTTTTAATTTGGTGTGGTCATAACAATATCAGCGAAAGGTGAAAGTTTGCTCTTCTTGCCTCTTCTTTCACACCTCTTCCTTCTCTCACTCTGTTCACACTTTTTTGTACCGCACTTCCATACATTCTTCTTACTTCCCAGCCCACCCCAAAACTTTTGCTCCCTCATTCTTTCTCCATGTTTCACACCTGTTTTCCTCCTTTTCCCTCTGACTGTCTGCCTCTGGCTCTTCTCTGCAGGAGACTTGTTTGCAGGAGGAGGCTCGTAAAGAAAGGCGTGACCTGTCTCCCATCAGGATCAATGTGGTAAATGTGAGTATAACTGTGTGAGTTCATGTGTTAAATGTGTGAGACTTTCTCCAAATATATACCGAATCGAAATGAAGTGCTTGGAGAGTAACTGACTTCACTAATGAATGCAGGGGGTTTATGCTTATATTTGTGGCATCTAAAATTGCTCTTTTTTTAGCAAGACAAGTCTGTTTTTCTTTTGCTGTGGTGCTGCATTCTTAGCCCTGGGGCTGCAAGCTGTGAGCTGGAAATGTAGAATCCAGAGAGCACGGCCTCTGACAACGCGTCTCACTGGGTGCTCCGCTCCCCTCCCCGGCTCAGTCTGCCACACTCTGTTCGTCACACCAATTTTCACATTACCACAGATGACTTCAAAGATGAAAAGAGGAGCTGGCTTTATTTTGGCATTGTGCAATGCAAATTCAGCACACAGTTGCTATTCAAGTACTAGTGATCAGGGATGCGCAATAAACAGGGAGACACAGAGCATGGAATGCTATCCTGTGTCCAGATAATTAAGAGACGAGTCAGGTTTGGGCTCATGTTTGCGTGCAGCAAATGACCAAGCCTTGATCATTCAATGGAAAACAACAACACCAGCACTGAAGCAGCAGCTAATTGGGGAAAAAAGCAATGTGGCACTCTGTGTCTTAGCCATCTTAGTCCACTACAATAGCATAGGAAGATAGACTGAAGATGACTATGAGAGTAAGAATTATCATCAAAGTTCTGGTATTGCAGAGCTATGGAGCAATATTGAGCCCCCAGTGTCAAGATCATTTAAATGCATCATGTAAATATGTGTTGAGAATAATTAGCTGATGATTCTGTTAATATGGTGCTACTTTGAGAATAATTAGCTAATGATTTTTGTTAATCTAGATCCAGGGTTCGCAGCACCAGTCCTAGGGCACCTTATTTATACGGTGGCTACTTTGCTTATCACATTCACATATAGTGTGGAAATTAGTCAGTCAGCAGCAAAATTTTGACGTGCTCCCTCTAAGTTCAGAACCATCAACTGTAGGCAAGTGTGTCTTTAAAGACCAATAGCTGTTGGTTGACTGACTAATTACCCCAGTCCTACCCCATTTGTGACATAAAAAGATAAGGTAAAGTATTCCCTGCCCCTTGGCACCTGATTGAGTATGCTAAGTATAAAGCCCTTGATGAGGTGAATCATGTATTTAAACTATGCAGGACAGTGGGTCCCTAGGACTAGAGTTGAGGACTCTAATTTAGATGAACAAAGAGCTTCAGTATGAGTGTAGAAATAATCCTCCCTTGTTTTTCCATGTCTCCTTAGGAAAGCACAGAGAAGGTGGTTCGTCCAAGGCTTCTCCCTGGCTGCCTGCGACGTAAACGGCCTAGGACTGTCCCCGCCGAAAACTCTCTGCTGCCCCCAGTGGACATGCAGAACTATTGCAGTATTAGCCAGGCCTCCTTCGCACGCACCGAACAGGAGCCCAACCGAGAAGAACAAGAGGGTCGAGAGGAAGACCAGGTAACTATGAAGAGCTGTGAGGTGAAGGAAGTGTCTAACGGATGCACTCACACAACTCTTCGGCCAGCCCCTCGAGTCACAATGCGCACCAATCAAGCCCGCTATAGGAGCATGCACTCCAGAGAGAAGAAAGCCACACAGATGCTGGCTATTGTACTGGGTGAGTATTGCCATTGTCAAGAAACATTCTTCCTTGGATTCATTTATTAAGGGCAAAGTCACTAGTTACAGAACCAAAAGGGAATTCAAATTTAATTTTGACGGATCATTTGTACCGTCTCTGACAATACCTATTGAAGAGAAGCAATCATTGACAGTCAGTTTAGCACCTAACAGTAACAGATTTGATATTGGGATGTCCGAACAAGATGAAGTGGCATTAACATACATATTTAATCTGGTGCCCAACTCGCACAGTCTTCCAACATGCATCAGGCGCGTTGGTCAAATCCAACACATACTGTAAAGGCAGCGTGAGTGTACAATGCTAAGTAACAAACTACCAGGCTAAAGGTGTTCTAGTACCTCACAAATTTCACAGAAGATTGTTGTGTTGTTTATTATTATCAATTGTACCCCCAACCCCCCTGCCCCGGATTGTACTGTTTATCATGGTAACATTATGCATGGTTAACCGAATATACTAATTATGTTACCTGTACAGTCTCAGACTGACAGTAAACTGGATTGGATTTAGAACTTTCATGGGGTTTATTTGCATGGTTCAATGGCAAGTTGGAATCAGAAAGTCAACTGGTGGAAATTAGTTCTGCTGCCACAGAGTTATTTAGCCACCTGGTGTATGTTGGGCATGACAGAGTTATTTAACAGTTACCTGCTGCATGTTTGGCATGAGCTTAAACTCTTTTCATCTGGTGTACCAAGATAATGTACACGCCTGCTGAGGAGTCTGGCTACAAGCCCACAGTATTGAATGAGCACAAATTATCGCACACCAAAGCTGGACCTATCTCAGCAATAACCTTTTTCTCTGCAATCACAGAAGTTCAGAGCCATAGATACACAAACCACCTGTTGGTTAGCCATCTTCTGAAAGTAAAAGCTGCAGGATCACAGCTTGTACCTCTTCCTCTGCCAGGGATGCAGTAGTTGTCAGCCTAGAGAGAGGCCACCTGGGGAACATTGTGAACAGTGAGTGCCAAGGAGTGTCATTCAAAAGTACAAACTAGAGTCAAGCTCTGGAATCTGAGCTGTGCAGCCCCCAAAGTTGCTGGCAACCAATTTCACACAATTAGCATCACGTCACTGTGGTGCCTCATGGAGGCCGATGCTCTCTGAAGTTCATAAATGACATTGATGGTAATCTGTGATGTCTGCTTAATTGAGGAGGAAATGAAATCACACTCATGGCAGATGTCTAGCCTATGGCCCAGCTGCCCCAGCTCAAAGTCAATTGGTCAGGGTCTTTTTGTGACCAAACTCGCTTTGCCTGTGGTAAGGATTTCCGTTTTGGAGAATTTAAGACAGCAAGGCATTTCTAGGAAAAGAGTAGCTGTGGGACATCTAACCTTTAACATAAATTAAGTATTCCGTAAACCCACCTATTCAACTATATTGCTGAAAGGTCCAGGTTAATGAGGACTACACGTTTGTTTGATGTTTTAATTACGAGCTCATGCCCAGTCTCTCTACCTGTGTGTGTGTGTGTGTGTGTGTATATGTTGTGTACATGTATATCCTCCAGGGGTCTTTCTCATCTGCTGGCTACCCTTCTTTGTGACTCACATCTTGAACACTCACTGCAGGAAGTGTCACGTGCCGCCCGAGCTTTATAGCGCCTTCACCTGGCTGGGCTATGTCAACAGTGCCCTCAACCCAGTCATTTACACCACTTTCAACATCGAGTTTCGCCGAGCCTTCATTAAGATTCTCACTTGTTGATTTCAGACATCATGAGTCCAGTGACCTCTGCAACTTGGGATACAGACTGAACCATGAAGTGAAAGACAGCTTGATGGACAGTTACTTCATGCATCCAGCAAGGTGCATTACTTTTTCTGCAAGTGAACTTTGAACTGGGAAGTCAGGAGGCTACTGACTCAGTGATGATAAAATGGAATACAAAGCAAGTCTCGACCCTTGAATGCCAGAACAGGGTCTGGAAGTGGTTTGAATCACATATCAACAGAATTTGAAGGCCTGATCATTATTAGTCAGCCTAAAAGAATCGTGGATGTATCTGGACTTTGTTCTGTTGCCGCTTTCCGAGCATCTCCTCTCATTTCAGTTGTCTGTTTGGAGTGCCTCGTATGTGTTTGCATGCATCTGTGAGTTTGGAGTTTGGCCTCTTTGAACAGAGATGTCTGTGAAGCCTTTGGGTCATTGAACGTCAAAGGACAAGCGGCTGAGAATTCTTGTGATAAGGAAACCAGGTGGGGTGGGGGACCATAACATTTGGAATGTGTTTGTATTGTGAATTAAAGCAAAATGGAATCTCTCTCATGAGCTCTGTTCTCATTAATCTGAATAAGAAACCTAGAGGGAGAGAAAGCGAGAGCAAATGAGGACAGGATGGCTCAGTGTGAGACAACACCCAGCGAAAGAAGGATGGGTTGAGTGAGTGACTGAGCGAGGGAGAACATTAAATAGAAAGAAACCGGAGTGTGTGGATTTTTTAAAAGGCCTTTAGTGGAGGGCTCAGCTGGAAATCAGCATCGCAGATGGATGTGGATTGATAGAGAAAGAGAGAGAAAGAGGAAATGCATGGCTTGCTCAAGTGTGTTTTCAAAGAAAAAGCCAGCCTAACTTGTCTCACCACACTCGGAGAACCTCAATGTGTGCTTGAGTGTTTTTGGTACTGAAAGAATTACAATGGGAGTGATGGCATCTGTCTTTTTCCACTCTCTCTAATTACTAGTCCTTGTCGAATGACAGCTAATGAATTCACTTTGACATCCCTCTCACCCAGCTCCATTCTTACCCTTTGTTTTTCTCTGTCCAACTCACTCACTTCTTCACTGCAGCCTGACCCGGCTAAGCTCTTCCTCCACAGCTAAGCTTTTTGGAGACAATGAGGTCTTGTCAGAGTGTGCTTATCACTTGTGAGAAGGATCTCTCTAAAAAGTAGTTTGCATGTATTCATTTCTCTGCCTGTGTGGCTTTGAGAGGCAGTGAAGGCTGGGGGTGTTACATTACAAATATTAAAATTTCTTTTGAAAGGGGGCTTGCAAGGCAATACATGCTCTGAATTGAATACAATTAGATTTTACTAAATTGATTGTGATATCGCAAATATTTTCATGTATTCTACAGAAATATTTGTCAATATTAGACATGCTGACATAAAATAGTTTCCATTGTTTTGTTATGTTCATAAAAGAGGCACCCATAAGAGTAGGGGAAAAGACTCCCCTGCACTATGTCTGAAACCAATTATGCTTTGTATTTTTTGTATTTAACCCTTTACTGCATGGTTAAAGCTCACATGGCCCCCCTACTCCCTATGTATTGCACTATGTAGGTCATGAAATAGTGGCTTCTGCACTCAAACAGCACACGATATGTCTAAGAAAGCCATTTGGGACCCCAAATCTAGACACTTCATGACTCGCAAGAGTGTATTATATAAGGAATATTCAGATTCAGCTTCAGATTCAGATTCAGCCAGTTACTTTGTTTTCATGTTTTGCCTATAATATGAAGTGTATACCTTTTTTTGGAAACTATGTCTTCTTGTTGCAGCCTGGCCTTCTCTTTTCACACACACCACATGGTGAGATCTAGCATCTGAAGCTACCTTAGAGTGTGTGTGTATAAATAAATAGTAATGGGCAACATTAAGAGAACAAATGAAACACAATCTCTGGGATGTTTCTTTTTCATAAACAAAATCAGTTTGGATGTTTCATATATAAAATGCTAAAATGTGATTTTTATCGTATGACAACAGCATGCTACAATGGAACTAGACATGTAGTGCATTCAGTGGGGGCAAGTGATGAACACAATGACATTGGACACACTAGACACTGCCATTTTCACAGCAAGTTGATGATTTTAGCAATATGATTATTTTATACCTTTCTGTATTTCTATGAACTTGTTTTTTTCCAAGCTTTCAGAAAAGTATCCAGTGTCAGTGTATTGGTTTGCTTCCACTGTATGCATTACAGATTACAGTTCCATTGCTGCATGCTGTTGCCATGTGGCAACAAAATGCAAAGTGCTTTCCCCCCACCATTTTTTTTTTTTTCAAAAAACTATTTTTACATTTCCTGTTATAATGCCATTTTGAGTAAGAAAAATCATGAAGACATGTGTATTTCATAATTCATGCAGTAAAGGGTTACATTTATTTGCATTAATTATACTTTAATTAGAAAATAGTCTTGTGTTGCCAGTTAGACTTTGACCAAGAAAATACAAGCATAATGAACGTTGGCATTTCATTTCTTTATCATTTCATACAATACATATATTGTGAACGTTATGTATTGTTACATCCCTACTGAAGACTTGCTTTAACAGCTCATAATGGAAGTGGGCTGGACTAGTGGAGAGTGAAATAACTAGATTTTTACCACGGACATTTCACAGCATCCCTCCATCCTCCGATCATCCCCCACTCTTCAGCCAAGGCCAACTTACTCCCACTTCTTATCCACGCAAGAAGTCGCAGTTTGGCTAAATACACACACACACACACACACACACAATACTGAAAACAGGAAATAGAAGTGCCAGCATTCACACATACACATCTCTTCTAAATATTCTGGAAACGACCACATAAAAATGTGGACATTTTGTACTCCGAGACACTAATTGGTCATTAGGGATTCTGCAGAAATGCTCTAATTTCACAGAGACGTGTCTGTATGTATTGTATTTATAACCAACACTCAGAGGTGCTTTATTTAGGAAAAAAATGCATATAGTTTAGATAAGGAAAGCTCATTCCTTTCAACGGAACAGTCAACACTGCCAGAAACAGGAAGAGACAGGAAAGCAAATTATTCATTATTTATGTAGTGAATGTAGTGGTTTAAGTTAACAGTAAAGCATATAAATATATAAGCGTGTATAAGGGAGAGAGACAGAGAGACAGGGTGGGTGTATTCCCTAGCGACAGGGGTACCAGAATTTAATGAATGCTTGATGTGGTTGAGAGAAACAGAGGGTCTTGGGATCCCTGAGACAATTACTGGGGTTCAAAGTCAGTTTGAAAGCAGCAACTCAACTCAGTGTCACACTGTTACATTGTTTGTGAACGCAAACATACTGTGTGAATATGGGTGGACTCCATGCATAATGTGGGGTTGGCTAGTGTAAAGTTGTAACTCTTGTTGGAAGTTTTAAATATTGCTCCTACATACTGTGCAAAAGTCAGAGACATGTTTTTGTTTATTTACTGTCCAGTCAAAATAACCAGTAAGTACAAGTTATTCATTTTTCAGCAAAGAAGCAGAAAACATATGTAGTATAAAAATACAAAGAAGCCTCAAATACTTATTTAAATACATATTTTTTCAGTATTTAGTGTGGCCACCCTTTGCTGTTATTGCATTCTTTTCAGGAGACTTGCTTTCAGTTTTTCAAAGAAATCTGCAGGAATATTTTTCATATCTCCAAAGTTCAGTCTCAGAAGTTGGTTGCATTTTCTGCTTGTTACGATCCAAGTAATGAAACACATTCAATAATGTTAAAACCTGAACTTTGGGGTGGTCAGTCCACTGTTCTGAGAACCCCAGCAGCTTCTTTGTCTGATTTGCAAATGTTCTTTTTTGTCTGCTTCCTTTTCTCAGTAAGGGCTTCTTGCCAGCCACACATCCTTTTCAGGTCCATATAGTGTTCAGTTGTGTTGTCACAGTGAAAGGATGGACAGAACACCTGTGGATTTTTTCAGATCTGAAGCAAGAGCAGAGCCTGACTTTCTCGCTCAGAGATGTAAGCGTTAAGTACTGTTTATCTGATGGGAACAGGTCTCCCAGGTCTTATACAGTTCTTAGGAGTCACATTTTTTCTTTTTCTAACTCCAGTTTAGGTTTAAGTTTTTATTTTTTTCACTTATTTTCCTTTGACTTTCTTCTTCCCCATGCAAGTGGACTATCTTATATATAATATCCTGGGATATTTATTCTGAAAAAATGAAGAACTTACTTAATGGTCATTGAAATTAAATCATCTCTGACTTACATAGTCTCTGACTTCAGCACAGCACTGTAGGTATAGGTTAAAGTAATAGCTTGGCCAAAAATCAAAATGCACACAATCTTCCTCTCATCCCAAATGTAGGTGGCCGATTGTCTGAAGTTTGCTTCTTTAGTTTTGTACTAAAGGCTAATATACCTAGCAAGTAATAGAAGCTTATAGCCGTCAGGTTTGAATTTTGCCAATTTCATGCCTAAATAATCGCACACTTGCCTCAAACAGCATGATAACAGTTTGCCTTGCAGTGTCAGAAACCACATAAGCCAGTCTGTTTGAGATTACTTATCAACACTACTTGGTTTGAGGCAAGCGTGTGATGATTTGTGCATGCACAATGCTAACCTGCTGGCTATAAACTTTCATTACATTAGCCACATAGCTCCAGTGCAAAACTAACGCAGCAAACTTCAGATACCAAACATCATGGCTGACTGACTACATTTGATGTAAGCGGAAAATTATATGAATTCGATTTTTAGCCAAACCGTTACTTCAACCATACGGGCCTGGTAAGAGTGAATGGTGAAAATGTGTGTTGAGCTGCTGATGGCAGTATTGAGCCTGTCTCTGCATATGCAGTGCCCAGAGATGATAACATTGCAATGTAAAGCAGTCACGGGCGGTGTAAAGTGGCTAGTGAAGATAGCATTGTAAAGTGTGGGGCTTCGTGAAGCCCCCAGCTGCAGCAATACAGCTCTGTATGACATAAATCAGCCTTTATAGTCTGCAGCACCAGCTTGAGAATGTGGTGTACAGAGTGCTAGCAGTGGAAATTTCTCTCTGGTTTTTGTGTGAATTCTCCATAGAATACCTGCTTCCTCTTTTAACCCAGGGAGACACATACTCATTGGCTCTTCTCCCCACCAAACTCACCTCACAGCCCAATCCCCCGTCTACCCAGCACTCTGTCTTTTGTATGATAAGAAGTAAGGGCAAGATGTCAAGCGCTGCGTGACGAACATACAGAAACTCCAAAACAATGCATTTAAAGTGATGCAGAGAGGTGCGGTGGGGGTTGAAGTAAAAAAGCCTATTCATTCTCTATGGACTCTGGCTCTGTGGGTCCTATAGTGACAGAATAAAATGACTGCAAATTCTTGTACACAAAAGCCCTAAGCAGTGCAATTAACAAAAGTTGCCTATGGCTTAGAGAAGTCCTCCAAAATGCGTTTGCACCAGAGGTGTCCAAATAACACTGGCTGAAACTACAGCACAGCGTTTGGGCAGTTGGATAATGACCAGTAATTAGGTAATCTGTGACAAGTAATAGACTATATAGTATACTTGCTTCAGAAAGAGAGAAGGAGGCTAGTTTAAGCACTGGTTAATAAAACTACTTCGGTCTGTAGAGAGAGAGTTAAGGTCATTTTTAACTCAATCTGTTACGTCATATCGGTAGCCCTCATCACCTTTAGGCAGCTAGCAGTGTATCTAAAAGTCTTCTCAAAGACACTGGAATGAAAAAAAAGACACAGTGGGGCATCAGACTTTGTTAAATGTTAGCAAACATCTTGTGTAGCAAGACAAAAAGGTTTTATTA